TATTTTTGACGAAGATGACGCAGCGAGTTTGGGAGTTCAAGACTGTTTTTCCAAACAGTGTACGTATGTTGTTGTGTCTATTATTCGGCGTTTACAAGGCGACTTTTTATCTATGGCATGGCGTTCAGATGGCGCCAGGTTGCATGCTTCTTTCGTCCCCCTGGCATCTGACGATCTATGAAGGCTCGATATGTAGTGAAAGTCGGCGACGGAAAAGAGGCTCATCAGATTGGGTTGTCAGGTAGAAAAGACGGGAAAAGCGTCGTGCGTTGCCGTCAAGGACATGATTGATGCCATGCCTAGCGAGCTGGGATAGCTCGCAAATCTACACTTTTTTTGTTATTGTACAGCTAGAATAGCAATGACTCCAATACTACAATATAACTAAATCACATGATATCAGAATCGACTAGCCGGTCGAAGAAGCATGATGGCGATTTTCAATTGAGAGACAGCTGAGAGTGGGTTTAAAAGTGTTCAATGACTACTACTACGACTACTTGTATGTGTGTATGCCTTGTAACCCATGCTCTCGTCGCTCTTGAGCCCAAAAGCCCCTTGGAAGGTATCCCTAGTAATATATGTATATAGTGTTGGAACCAAACGCCATGCCTGTTTCGTCAAGTCAATCAGTCAGTCAGTCCGTCCAGTCACCCCTTTTTGTTTGGTTCATATTCACTGTCTCAATCTCTACTGCGAGCATGCCGCCGCCACCTCTCCACCTCTCTACCCAGTAACATCCATTTCTTCTTCTATGTATATTGAGGAACTTTTTTTACTGCAGCAAGAGCGCTTCCGTGTTGAGCACGCCAAAGAGGTTCTCAATCTCCCTCTGCACGTACTCGAGCTCCTGCGCGACCTGGGCCGTGACCAAGGTGTACGCGTACAACAGAGCAAAGTCCTTCTCTTCCAACACCACACCATTCTTGGTAATTTGGTTATTGTTGTTGCTACTGCTATTGTTGCTGCCGACATTGCCGTTTCCGTTGCCACTCTCCTCCTGTCGCTGCTCCCCGAAGTCATTCCCAGCTATGGGAGAAGGAGGCTGGTGCTCCTTGCGGAACTGATAAATCTTGCCCAGCAGTCGGTCCTTGTTGCCCACCACTGACGGGATTGCGTCGGTGAGCGGGTACTCTAGCATCATGGAGCTTGCGAGCACCTGAAACACGTGGCAGATGCGGTCGCAAAGTTGCGCGCGCTCTGGTGCCGTGTACTCGAGCAGAGCTCGTTCGCCTGCGGACAACTGTCCCCGTCTGGAGGTCACGAGCCGCATGGCGTGGAATCCGTCGAGAATCTTGCTGGTAGACTGCATGATGCGGCCGTAGGCGGCATCAGGAAAAGGGCCACGAAGTTCGAACTCGCTCTTTGCGGAATTACGCAAGGCTTCAAGCTTGAAGGCTATTTTCTGTGTCAGCGGTATGCGTTATGCTGGAGTTTAGGGAGTAAGTCTCTCACCATAGCGTTGCAGTGCTTGCTCTTCTCCGGCTTTCATGTACGACCTCGTGTTGTCGCTTCGGAGTAGAATAGCCAACGGTCCTCTCTTCCAGATGAGGCCAAGCTGGAGATAGAGTACTGAAAGACCTTCCTTGAACTTCTTCCTGCCCGAGATGGGCCAGATTGCCCGGCAAACAAAGATACCCCATAGAATACCCAAAGACACCGCAACAAATCTGTGATAGACAATTTCAAACATCAGAGGGTTGGAACCTCCCTCATCGTCATCATCATCATCCACCTTTTGTGACAACGAATAGGCGTAGAGAACAGTGACGTTCCAGGCGAGAAGCGTAATCCTACCGAAGGGGGCATTGTTCTTGACGAGCATCATGTAGAAACTGAAGAAGCTGACCATCCAGCCCAGGAACGCGAGGACGACCCCGTTTCCTTGGCTGATGGCCCACGCCGTCAAGGAAAAGGTAGCTCCGGCAATGGTGCCAATAAACCTTGCAGTGCCCGTGGTGTTGGCTGCTCCGACAGTCATAGACGCGACAATCATGAAAGATAGCAAGCCCCACTCGCCTCGCCAGTGCTGATACGTCGGTCTTGTTGCCGGAATGAAGGCACATGCTGCCCAAAGCATCGCTCCAAAGCCGACTTTGACACCAAATCGGACTGCCCAAATCATTAGCTGTGCCTAAGCACTCTTTGAGTACCAGTCACTTACTGTCATCGCGAGCCAAAACCCTCAGACCCTTGAGAAGCTGCTGCGAGAAAAATCTCATAATCATGCTCGCGTTGGGAGCGGCATCCCAGCTAAAAGTATCTCTGCGCTTGATCATCGTGTCGGGAATACCCCTGGGAAGAGCCGATTTCCTGATGGCACGAACAGGCTGCTCCGGAGGCTCCATAGGTTGATGCAGCAAACGCTCAGTATCCATGCTGCTAGGATCGGATTCCCTGGGTTGAGCGGGCGAGGAAAAGTACTTCCAAACCTTCAGCCAGTTCCAGCTGCGGGAGCCCATCTCACGATTATACTTGAGTTCTTCCAAGGCTGTCAAGTATGCATCAATATCCTCTGCTACGTGCTGCAAACTGAAACTGAAATGTCCGCAGGCGGCCGCGACTTCCTCGATGTCTGCTTGGATCTTTTCTGACCTCGCTCGGCCCAGCTCGATACTAGTGTAGAGCTCTTGCAGGGCGTGAGTTCTTGCGTTGCTGTATAGCGCCATGGCGTCCTTTAAACTATGCTTAAAATGAGGGTTGACTGTAATCTTGGAGTCTGCTCCCTTTGCAAAAGCTTGCTCTCTCAGGATCTCCGAAAGAGTGTATGCCAAAGACTTCATCGAGGGGCCCAGCAGCGCTATGAAGAGCTCAAAGATCTCTGACGGTGAGCGGAAAGTAGGCAGTGGCGCCGGAGGGCCGTCTGGGGTTGCCTCAGGGCTTGGGTGGCTATCCAGATCATCGTCGTACTCGTCATCTTCCTCGATTGATGCCAGTGTCGCGAACCGATCCCGAGCACCCTTGAGGTATTGGGACATGGCGCGAGACAGCGTTGGTGAGAACACCGTGCTTCCGGGAGAAAGCTGCCCGCCCATGGGATCCTGCGGCATCTCCTTGAGTAAGGCAAACTGCGTGTTCGCCGCACTCCTCAAACCTCCTATGGCTTGCGAGAGTGATTCCAACGACTTGACGAGATTCTTTTCCAGGTTATAGATTTTCTCCCGTCCAAGAACCCAGTGTTCCAATTTTGACTCCCTAAGATTCTTCGTCATTTTCCCGTATGTTGTTTTGTACAGTCTCGCAACCTGGCCAAAGTCTCCCGACATGATCTCGTTCTCAGAACCATTCAGGAAGCCACGAGTAATCATCGAGAGCATGTCCGCGAGTGATACCGCGGCCGAGTTCATCGAGGAACGCAAAAGGGCCCGTGCCGACACTCTCCAGACAAAGAAGTTGACCGTTGCCGTGATTGTAATGCCTATAGCCAACATCTTAAGTACTTGTACAATCTTAGCTTCGGAAAAGTGCCCTTCGTGGATTGCTTCCTCTCTAGTGACCACAGCGATGATGGCAATCGAAGAAAGGGTACATCCCACATTGACCAAGGGGTTGTTCAGCCTTTGCTTCACCCATCCGATGAATCCCATGCCGCCGCCGATGCAGAACGTCAAGATGAGAACGTGAGACAGCGGGATGAGGCCGAGCTGGCCTCCTACCACAACGGAAAAGGCCATGGCGAGGCAGGATATGATTTCGGCATACAGGACGGCTATGGTGGCAATGGCGACGGCCTCGACCATGGAACCCCACGTGCGACTGGCGTGGAAATAGACCGTCAAAGTCGCGACGACGTGCTTCCCATCAGGCTTCCCCAAGAAAGCCGAGATGGGCGAAAGGAACGTCGCCATACTGGCCAACAGGTATGCCAAGGTACACTTCAGCACGCCCTTGCCCGCCGGAGACATGAGCCAGTCCCAGAGGTGCAGGGCACTGGTCTTGATATTATGCTTGACCACATTGAGAGACTCGCCCGTCGACTCGGCGGCCAAGAGGGATCGGTATCCGTTCACTTCGGGCTGAGGAATCTCGATGCTCGATCCGCGGAGAGAGAATTGGCGGCGGCTGCGTTCGCCGGTGCCTGGGACGATGAAGGTGCCATTTCGGAGCTTCTAGAATCACACCGTGCGGTCAGCTACGATTTGCGCAACACCAGCCAACAAGCTTCACCGAAAAAGGACGATAGCCGATTCAACTCACGCTCCGTTTCGAGGGCCGCCTAGGTGGCCATTGGTTGCTGTTCGACGAGCTCATCACGGTTGGGTGTTGCGCATCACCCAAATGTCAGCCGTGTTGGAGCAGTCGGTCTGGTTGCGCTCAGCAAGGGAGCTCGCAGAAGCTTGTCTAATAGAGGTTCGTTTTCTAGGTTGCAGCAATAGGGATGAACTTGTGGTGCCCTCTGGACGTTTTGTTGTACGTAAGGAAAAAAAGGTAGGTTATAGCTGTCAGACAGACAGACCTACTGCCAACTGCAAAGGCGTCTAAACAAAATTCCCAACGACCGAGCATCCGCGACACACTGGCACTGGTCTAAATTGCTGCAGGTTGGGCGTCGCCACATGGAAAGCTCCTCCCAGCAGCAGCAGCACAGCAGACCTCTCTTGCCTCGAAGATTCGCGCCGACCATTCGCATCCCTAGACCCATGTCATCTGGCCGGCTGGGGTCCGGAATTGTGCAACATTTCAGTCAGTCAGCCGGCACTGTGTTCCCACTCCCCGAATGCCCATCCAGCCCAGTGTGGGGCTTTACGCAATCGCCGCCTACCTATCTTACACTAGCTAAGCCCGCAGGACGCATTCCCGACTCGTGGTCATCGATCCGGTGCGGGTGTGTACGTACTCTTCCGTCTTAGTTGAGGGTTAAACAACTCATCGGAACAGCTCCTCGTGCTCCTCTATAGAAGGTATCGCAACCACCGCAAACTCTATCTCAAAGTCGGGAAATCCTGAGCGTCGTCTTTTGCCGTTGGTCTTAAGCTTTCATCAACACCAAATCTTTTCCCATGAAGAAATTCGTCTCGAGAATGGTTACACACGCTCCCCGGCAATTCGCCCCATTGAAGCCAGGCGCTGCAGTAAACTCAACTGCACCTCGACTCAAAGGCATTGTGTTCGATGTTGATGGAACGTTATGGTACGTGATCAGGTGTCTCATTGCTTGTAGCCATCATACTTTCTCATTCTGTATCTTATTCGAATCCCAACTTTGGTACCTCCGGCAAAGCAGAATCACTTCATCCTGAGCGGGTGGTTTTTCAGACAAGAGTCCATGAATTGCCACACATTTCACATCTTCACAAACTTGTTAGATACTCTTACAAGCCGCATATATTTTCTTACGAAATTTGCTGACTAGCATCAAGTGAACCTCAAACGTACATGTTCGGCGAGATGCGTCAAGCCCTCGGCATCACAAAGAAAGTAGACATCCTCGACCATGTCTACTCCCTCCCCACAAAGGAGGAACAAGAGACAGCAATGGAGTCCATTCGCCACATTGAGCGTACGGCCATGGCATCTCAGGTGGCCCAGCCGGGGCTCGTGGAGCTCATGTCCTACCTCGACAGCCGCGGCGTCCGCAAGGGCATCTGCACCCGCAACTTCGACGCGCCCGTGGCACACCTTCTCGGGAAGTTCCTCGAGGGGTCACTTTTCGAGCCTATCGTGACCCGCGACTTTCGTCCGCCTAAGCCAGATCCCGCAGGGATTCTGCATATTGCGCGAAACTGGGGTCTTGTCAAAGAAGCAAGCACCTCGACTGATGCAAAGGAGACAACCGTCGGTGATGGTAGTGAGTTGATCATGGTTGGGGACTCGATCGATGACATGACAGCTGGGCGAAGAGCTGGCGCGGCGACAGTGCTCCTTGCCAACGATGTCAATGTACATTTGGTCGACCACGAGCACACTGACTTGGTGATTCGCCGATTAGACGAGCTGATTCCTATCCTTGAGGATGGTTTTAGCAGCAGGGAGCCAGTTTCATCGACATAAAAGAGACGCAGGAGTAGGGACTAGACGGCAACTTGTCTGCTGTCACTTTCATGTCTATTTAGAAAAAGTTCAAGAGAGTATAAGACACCATGGTCTAGACAAGCAGGACGAATTGCTCAATCGTTCGTCTCTGTCTCATTTGCATATCAGCCACCATTGAACCCATCCTCCAAGTTTGCTACATGAAAGGCTTTTTGTGTCGACATATCCCTCCTGTCTTGATCACGATCGATGATGAATGCTCTCCACAAGCTTTCTAAAGACTTAACCGATATGCCTTCCCAGGGTGCGTGAAGTCCCAAAGTTCCCGAAGTCTGCAGGAGAACGTTGTCTATACATGCGCCGAGTGATGCTGATGAAAAGAGGGTAAGAAGCTTCCCTACGATCGAGTCGACACATTCCGCCGCTGGAACTTGGTGCACGAGGCTTCACCCCAGCTTTTCTACGCGTCTAGATGAAGGGGTCTTCTAAGCCGGCGACATTGTCATCACGACGCGTCCTGCGGCTTCTGTTATCGGGCATACCCATCTTCTGAGACGAGTAAAGCGGAGCTGATGCGATTGCCCGTTGAACCCATTCGTCAGATGCTGGTTGAAAAGCCATCTGGGTAGAAATATGGCAAGTTCTTGGTCCTTGGCTGAAAGATGGATGTGGCTGTTGTGGCGAAATGGCGCGATTTGATGCTCTGTTATGCAGTTGGTGAGCTTGGTGGGGTTGAGGCCCAATGCTATGTGTATAGTCGAAGCCCCCCTGCGACTAGTTGGAGGTGCCGTTGTACACGTCGCTTGCGTAGCTTCTGGGCGCCGGAGGCATGCCAAAGGTAGCTTGTCTCCGGTTCTCTCTTCTTGGGTCATCAGGTGTGCCCTTTCGAGGAGGGGCCGGAGGTAGAGGTCCGCCGGGGGCCGGGCGAACAGGCAGGCTAAATGACGCAGCATTGGCGCTCACCGGACCAGCACTATTCGGATACTCGCCAACCTTGGGGATCGAGTTGGTGGTAACAATCCTCTGTCCCATCCCAGGATGGCCACCCGGCTGTCTACTGCTCATTGTGTTGAGCCCATTTCTAGTGGGAGAGCGGTTCGAGTGACTGGCGGGCTCTCTCGGAGAGATAATGCCAGCGCCGGCAATAGGAATTTCTCCTGAAGTAGGCGTGTCCAGGGATCGATCGTTTCCAGAACCCCCGTGATATGTTGGGGAATCATTGGAGTTGAGCAGATCGCGTGTTGCTGGAGAAAGCTGGGGCGCCAAGTGAGACTTGCGATTGTCCCTCTCCATCATACCAACCGCCCACTCTCTCAGGTCTACTGGTGTTCTCTTGGCAGCTTGGACAAACGGATCACGGTCCTGGTGGGAAAACATGTTAGCGGCAAGGTTGATTCATGTTTGGGGGATATGCTTACAAAGAGCTCCTGAGGAGTAGGCCGCTCGTCAGGAACCTTGGACAGGCACTTTTGAATCATGTCTTCCAAAATCGAAGGGAAGGCATCGCTCTTGGGTAGCCTAGGCGCAGGCTCGTGGACAATTTGCTGCAAAAGGTCCAGAATGCCGGCGGGTGCGCACTCGCCGTCCGAAAGTTGCTCGCTTGCGTTGAAGGGGAACTTTCCAATGGCCATTTCCATGATGGTCAGACCAAAACTCCACACATCTGACTTGACTGTGTACTTCTCGCCCTGGATTCGCTCGGGTGCCATGTACGTTGAAGTTCCCACAAACGTATCAGCAACAGAGTTAATGAGCTCTCCAGACACGCCAAAATCGCAAAGCTTAATGCTTCCCCTAGAGTTCACCAGAATATTGGATGGCTTAATGTCTCTGTGCATGATGTGATGCTTCGAGTAGAGGTAGGTCAAGCCTCCCAAGGTAGCCACGGCAATCTTTCCGAGAACATCTACTCGAACAGGCCCAAAGACCTTGGATACCCGATCCAAAGCACTGAGAGACACGTTAGCCAAGGTTGCTAAAGTATATCAGACACTCGCTTACCCAACGTCCATGTACTCCATACACATAATGACGTCGTTGTGGTCGTTCAGGAAGGCTCCGTAGAAGTTGACGATATACTCGGATGAACAGCCGTGCATAATCTGAAGTTCGCGCACGATGCGCTTGCGCATCTCTTTCTTCGCCTCCACGTGAATGACCTGATATTGGTGAGTACTTGACCTTCCGAGCAGGGCATCAGCAATGACCAACCTTTCGTGCCATGACAGTTCCGGTAAGAACATGTTTGACTTTGCTGACGGTGCCTCCGTTTCCTGAACCGAGCTCCTTCAGAATTTCTAGGTCCTCTGGTCGCAAATCCAGCTTGTACTCGATGCCAATCTCCAGCTGTGCCGACTGGTCACCGCCGTCCTTATCGCGGTGACTGCTGGTCTCGGCGGTCGGTGGAGGCTTGGGTGCAGCAGGTGTCAAGGCTAGGCCTTTGACGTTCTTGCGCTTCATAGAGCGAGGCGCGAAAGGGTCAGCCATTTTGGGCTAACAGGTCTCCGTCACAGACTCGTAATCGGAAAACCGAAAGTGAAGATGGATAACGCCAGCAGTTACAACAACGAACAGGTATATGTCATGCCCTGTTCACGCTGTAGTAAATAGCCACACCCTCCAGTGTGTGTGTGGTCTCCTGCGCTGCGATTTAAGCTATGCTTTGCCGTCTCGGATCGTCAGGAATTGTGATTCGCGTGTTGGGTAGCGTTCGCACACGAGTTGGACTGGGTCGAATCGCTTGTGCCGAGGACAGATGACTGGAACCAACGGTCTCGTGTAATCAAATACCAAAGACTGGCTTGTCACTGTAAAGGAATCGAGCAATCGGGGTTGCGTCGGGAAACAGGAGGGGGGAAAGGCGAGCTGCGAAGGTTCGTTAATACTCGGCGCGCCGAGGTTGAGTTTGATATCGCTTTGGCGGAAGAAGCGATGGACGATATCCGAGGTCGACGACTGCGTGTAAGAAAGGAGAAGGAGGAAGAGGGGCGTAAACGACTCGAAATTTATTGGTGTGATTGTTCTCGATGGCGTCCCCGTTTCGGCCAAGGTGGGGTTGGAAGGTAAGGTAGGGAGGCGACTCCGAGAAATGGCGAGGGGGGAGGGGTAGACGAGCAAGAAATAGGCAACGTGCTCCGTGTCGCTGGATAGGAGTAAATGAGAGGGCCTCGTAGAAGTAAACGAGGTTGCTCTCGATAGGTAAACGGGCGGAACGTGGGTCGCGGGTCAGGATGGTTAAGAAGAGGATGACGGGGAGGGGATGGATGGATGAATGAATGAAAGAGAAAGTAAAGCAGTAGAACGATGGACCAGTTTCGACCGCTTGGAGAACAAGACGCAGGTGCAGTAGTCGACCTGAGAGGTGAAGAGTAATAAGTGGTGTCAGATCAAACAAAGGTTCGTTCTGCCACACAAACATCCAAAGTAGAACAGACCTGAGGTGCCCGGGTGTGATGGAGTGGGAGACCCCCAACTGGAGCGCAGTGGTACACCCAGTGGAGGGGGAAAGGTAGGTACCTAAGGTGATGGTGCCCAGGTGTCTGAAGTGAGGTACCTTACCTCCACTTACCCGTGGAAGGAGGACGAGGTGGCAGGAACAGCCCACAAGAATCACGGTCCAGTCCGGTCCCGTCCAGTCTAGTGTCGAGACGCAGGTCTCCAGCACACCCCGAGTCGACAAATGAGGGCTCAGAAATGGTTTCGGATCACACAGCGCGGCTGTATCTGTTTAAGACCTGAACCTGGGACCAACCGGGGGCGGCATCCCCTCCAGGTTCTAATCCGCGCTCTAGTAGCGAGAGCGACGGTTACTCGTCCGTGAAGTCTTCCAGGCCTTTCCCACCTTGGTCTCGGTCCGTCAGGGCAGGTTTGGTCACTTGTGTCGTTTCCACTGATTTCCTTGCTGGCCAGCCGACGCTACGCTACATCGTTTCTACCTCGACGAGTTGAGACTGGACGTCTCTTTGGCTTCTTGGTTCGTCGGCTTCGTGGTTTCCTAGTGTTGCAGTTCGCTGTTTCTTTCTCTGCGACAATGGCGGATACGATACAAATGGAAGCGCCCCACCAACGTCTGCGGTACTGTATCCGAATAAGGCTACGGATACTTCTCCTTACCAATAACTACACTAGTAAAGCCAAGTACCCAGAGTTCCCAACGTGCCTTAGGTAGCTAAGGTCAGATGCAGAGTGGCTGGGATCAGCAACGGAGAACAACAAGAGGACCCAAACGGGCCACAGCCCAGCACTAGCCCGGGCCAGTGTTTTAGAGACGTCGAGACCCAGCTCCGAAGTACGGGATAGAGATGACTTGACGCACGTTTTAGAGCTACAGTAGCAGCAGAACGTGAGAATCCTCCAGGGGACCTTGCAGTTCCGTGGAGCCATCGACAACTCTGGGTTGGCGACTGACGGGTCTCTGGACTGGTCCGTCCAGGGAAGGACCTCCTATTTTACCTCAACTCAACGTAAGATATTGGATCCGTGATTCTTCCTCGACAGCACAGACTCAAAAGCCCAGAGCCCGCCTCGATCCACCTCACTCTTCCTATGGGGTACCTTACTCTACAAGTAAGTGTGTATACGAGCCGGGGACCGACGGCTATCCTTTCCTCTACGCTTCAGCTTCCCATCAACATTAGCAGGTCGTTAGCGAACAAGGCGAAAAGACAATTTCGACTATGACTTGGAGAGGGCTACTGGTACCTTACTCTCTGGCCTGCCGCTGTATCCGCCTGCATTTGACACCATCGGTCCCAACCATTGCCATAACATGGCAGAGGCAACGCAGTAAAAAATAAGCAGTACGGGAATGCAGATCTACACGCCAATCAAAGACATCTAACTGCCTCTAAATTTATCTACTCCCATCCGTTCCTACGACTATCTGTACCATCCTTCAATGATGGCCCACAATTCATCCATTCACCATTTAAGAAGCCGTCAAGTCCAATTGCATCGCTGTCTCCGTCACCCTTTCAACCCGTCACTCAAGTCCATGACAGGGGCTAGGAGTCGTCTGGGCACTTCATATAAGCCGGTGGGCTGCCACGCTGGGTGTGATGGAGGCAACTCGAGCCAACGGTGGTGAGGCATTGAAGAAATCCCACTTTGTTCTGTACCAGGGTCTTGAGTCGCAAAATGGCCTGGTGTCTCAGTGTCTTGCCGCCTGCCCGCCCACATTGCCCCTCCCACACCTACCAACAAGCCTCGAATGTCTGAGTGTCTGGTCAGTTCTGCTTCCCGACAGGCTCCAGATGGCTGCCCAAGCGCGGGATTGTGCCATGATGTGCTGCATGATGGGTTCATGGCTTGCTAATTTGTCGCTGGCTGCAAAATGCGCTTCCCTGCGGCGCCAACGTCTGTGTCATGTTGACAGACGAAGATGAAAACTCTTGATAGGATCCTCCTTCGCGATTTCCTGTTTATGCTGCTTATGCCAACTGTGATTTCGGAATAGTATCATAGAAGTAATATCGCCTAGGGTTGACAGATTCTTTGCATCCCTTCTGCCTCCGCACAACTAGCAAGTGACTGGAGTTTGTTGCATTCGTGAAGGAACAGCTGGAAAGAGTAGGACTACGCTGTTCGCAGGCAAGCCAATTCAAGCCGTTTAAGCCAAACGCTTACAGACTAACACAGGTTGCTGTCTACCCCTAGTATCGACCATTGCAAGAAACCTCCCATTATTCAGCTGAGCTACTTGAGCTGGCGGCTATCCCAAGAAATAGTCACTGAAGCTTCATGATTCTCTAAAGGATGCTTGAGTTGATGCAGTGACTCTTCTCAACGAGACCGTGTCGGGTGCATAGAGTCATGAACGGCGACTTAGAATAGCGGGCTGTGGTTAAATCAGCCTAGGGTAGCTAGTCTTCGGAAATCTGGGATTCACATCGCGAGCAGGGGACGCAGAATCACTTTGCACGTGGTATCGCAGGTGGCATACCTTCCTTACCTTACGGAGTACCTAAGGTACAGGGATACCTATATTGCGGATAAACCGATAAGATAACCAGCTCTGTCCAGAAGCCGGAATAACTATCACCAGCCACAGTGGACCTTCCGGGTCCGAGGCTGAAGGTCGGGTCAGCGAACGAGGCGCGCTGGGAGAGCCATTGGAGGGAGGTCCAAGCTTTCAATTATTCCAAGTGCAGGCGTGCTGGAGAGGCAACTGAAAATTGCCTGGTCAAGGACGCCTTCCTTCAATTCTTGCCCACGTTCTTTCCTCCGAATTTGGGCGAACCCATCTCGACATCGATTCATTAATCCGGGCACGATACCTTCTTTTCTAATCAAATTCTGAGCCTAGTCGAGCTCTCTCAGCGATCGTAACGCGCCTACCAGGTATCATCCACCGACGAAGGCGTCACTTTACCACGCGCTGCGACTTTGATTCTAGGCAACTTCAAGATGAGCGCCTCAATGCGGGATTTCGTCGACGGCGAGGCCGAGCTCGATGATGAGGATGAGGAGTCTCTGGATGAGGATGCCGACCCTAGATCTGCGCGCAGAAGAAATGCGGCCCCCGAGGACTCCTCCGAAGAGGAAGAGGACGATGAAGATGAGGAGGAAGCGCGCAAAGTAGGCGATGGATATTCAAATCACGTTGACGACTGACTAATTTTTTCTCCCACTCAGATTCGCGAGGGATTTATTGTCGACGAAGATGAGGAAGAAGAGGAAGTAGGTGAGGACGAAGATGCTCACGAGCGAAAGCGGAAGCGAGAGCATCGCGACAGAGAAGAAGAAGAGCGGCTGGACGAGGATGACCTGGAACTTATCGGGGAACAAATCGAGCGCAGAGCACCAACACAGGTACGATGTCCCCATGGACTATCGCTACTGGATGTACTAACGTGTCTGTAGCCTAAATTCAAGCGTCTCAAACGAGGACATCGGGACGAGGACGACCGTGGCCCCGAGCGACGCGGCTTAGAGGACATGTTCTCCGATGACGACGAGGAAGCCAACGATCAAAAACCCTACGGCCGATCGAACTACCGCCCCCAGGCCGACGAGTTCGAAGACTTCATTGAGGAAGATTATCCGGAGGATGAGGACGAACGAGCTCGTCAGCAGGAAGATGCCGAAGTCGCTCGGCCCCGCGACAGAGGAGTTGGAGGCGTCGTCGACACTTCCGGCCTCGATAAAGACGCCTTGGAGGACATGGAGGCCATCTTCGGTAATGGCGAGGATTACGAGTGGGCCCTCCAAATGGAAGAAGAGCAAGAAGACCGCGAACGCGAAGAGCAGGTCATTGAGCTCAAGGACGTGTTTGAGCCTTCACAGTTGAAGGAGAAGCTCTTGACCGACGAGGACAACCAGATCCGATTCACAGACGAGCCTGAAAGATTCCAGCTGGACCGAAAACCGTTCAAGCACTTGCAAATTAGCGCTGAGCAGTTCAAGGAAGAGGCCCGGTGGATTGCGGGTTTGATGTGGCCCAAAAAGCTGCTCCAGTCCGAACTACACGGACCCTTCACCAAGGCGATTGGCAAGGTCCTCGAGTTCTTTGTCGTTGACGACGTTGAGGTCCCCTACGTCTTTCAGCATCGCAAGGATTACCTGATCCATGCCAAGAAGACCAAAAATCCCGACCATCGTGACGACCCTGACGCCCCTGAATGGATTGTCAGCGCAGACAAGCTTCTTACTCAGGACGACTTATGGCGAATTTTGGAGCTTGATATCAAGTTCCGCTCACTGATCGAAAAGCGGAACGCTCTGGAAAAGACGCTCGAGAACCTCAAATCTGCTGCTAACATCAAGGACGATGTACTCGAAGATATGATTCCCCAAGCTGCGACCATGGAAGAACTGCAAGATTTGCAGGACTACCTCCACTTCCAGTACACCAACGAGCTCAAGGATTTGTCTTTCATGAACGGCAATGGCAATCAGATGAAGCGCCCAGGCTCCAAATCAAATCTTGTCGACAGAGTCAGGAGGAGCAAGGCTATCGGTTTTGTCCGTGCCTACGGTATCACTCCGGATCGGTTCGCCCAAAACACTCTTCGCGAGGGCAGCAAGGTTTGGGCCGACGACGACAGCCAGCTTCCTGACGACCTCGCCGACTCCCTCACGGATGAAGAATTCCAAACCGGTGATACTGTGATGTACGCTGCTCGCCAGATGTACGCAGAGGAGCTGTTTGTCAACCCTCGTATGCGGAAGCACTTCAGAGTCAACTTCTATCAGATGGGCGAAATCAGCTGTCGCCGGACAGAGAAGGGTTTGAAGAAGATTGACGAGTCACATCCATTCTACGAGGTCAAGTATCTCATCAACCAGACAATCGCCGACGTTGCTCGCCAGCCAGATCTGTATCTCAAGATGATGAAGGCCGAGGAAGAGGGTCTCATCGAGGTTAAGCTGACATTGGAGAACGACGAGGGCTTTAAGCGCTCGTTGCGCCAAGAGTTCATTTCAGACAACTACAGTGAACTCGCGGATCGATGGAACGATGAACGTCAGAAGGTACTTGATCTCATTGTTCCCCGGCTTTCTAAGATTATTGCCAAGGGCGTCAAGGAGTCTCTCCGGACTGCATGCCAAGAAGAAGTTCTCAAAGCCTGCCGCGAAGAATATTCAAAGAGGCTCGATCAAGCGCCATACAAGCCCAAGGGTATGATTCTTGGCACACTGCCCCGAATCATCACTCTGTCCAACGGAATGGCCGATCCAGCTCGCGACCCTACACTCTGGGCTTCTGTTGAGGAAGATGGCCGGGTCATTGAGCAGGGAAAGCTGGGCAATCTAGCTCGTGACGAGCGAGCTCGCGAAGAATTTGTCGAGATCGTCAACAGGCGCCGCCCGGATGCCATCGGTATCAGCGGATGGTCTGCAGATACGCAGAAGCTTGTGAGAGACCTGGAAAGTCTAATCAGCGAGAAGGGCTTGATGGGGCCCGAGTTCGATGACCCTGAGCTTGGGGAGTATCGCACTGAGCCTCTCGAAGTCATCGTGGTAAATGACGAGGTGGCTCGTCTCTACAAGGACAGCCCTAGAGCAGTCGCAGAGCACCCTACTCTCAGTTCACTCACAAGATATTGCATCGCTTTGGCGCACTACATGCAAAACCCACTCAAGGAGTATGCGGCTCTTGGTAAAGACATTGCATCGCTAGCTTTCCATCCTTGTCAAAACCTGCTGCCCCAAGAGAAGCTACTCAAGCACCTCGAGTCCGCGATGGTTGACATGGTTAATCTGTGTGGTGTCAACATCAACGAGGCCGTGGGCGATTCTTACACAGCGAACCTCCTGCCCTATGTCGCCGGTCTCGGCCCCCGAAAGGCCACAAGCGTCATCAAAGCCATCAACGCGAACGGAGGAGCTGTCGGCAGCAGAGATGAGCTGGTTGGCGACCCCGACAGTGGCAAGCTGCCAGTTGTGGGCCCAAGAGTCTGGAACAACTGCGCCAGTTTCCTCTTCATCGACTACGATGCGACCAACCCCGCCTCAGACCCCCTTGACAACACCCGTGTTCACCCAGAGGACTACGAGCTGGGTCGCAAGATGGCAGCCGACGCCCTTGAACTTGATGAAGAGGACGTCAAAGCGGAGACGGATCACAATGGACCTGGCGCTATTGTTCGAAAACTCTTTAAGGAAGACGAACAAGAGAAGGTTAATGAGCTTATCCTCGAGGAATATGCGGAGCAACTTGAGCGTAATTACAGCCAGCGGAAGCGCGCTACGCTCGAGACAATTCGGGCTGAACTTCAAGCCCCCTACGAGGAGTTGCGCAGAAACTTCTCAAGCCTCGGTCCGAACGAGATTTTCACAATGTTCACTGGCGAGACCAAGGACACACTCGCTCAGGGCATGATCATCCCCGTCAACATCCGAGTGGTAAAAGATGACTTCGCCATAGTGAAGCTTGACTGCGGCATAGAGGGCCGCATCGAGTCGCACGACGGCCCTGATGGTGTTCGCGTCAGAGGTCTTCTCACGACCGGGCAGACGGTGCAAGCCAAGGTTCTTGAGGTAAACTACAAGGACTTCTTGGCCAAGCTTTCTGCAAGAGAAGCCGAAGTCAAACGCCCTTACAAGCGTCAATTATACCATGGCCATGGCCAGTGGGACGAGAGACTGGAGGCAGCTGATAAGGAAGAACTCCGCGAAAAGGACAAGACCACTGGACGCACCCAGAGAGTCATCAAGCACCCGCTGTTCAAGCCGTTCAACGGATTGGAAGCTGAGCAGTGGCTTGGTACCCAAGCCGCCGGAGAGGTCATCATTCGACCTTCCTCAAAAGGTAACGACCATCTGGCTATCACCTGGAAGGTCGCCGATGGTGTTTTCCAACATGTCGACGTGCTTGAGCTCCAAAAAGAGACGGAGTTTTCCGTCGGCAAACTTCTCAGGGTTGGTGGCAAGTTCACCTACAAGGATCTGGATGAGTTGATCCACGAACACATCGAGGCTATGTCTCGCAAGGTGGATGAGATGATGCAGCATGAGAAGTTCGAGAAGCGGTCCAAGACGGATCTTGGTAGGTGCCTCCGTACTTTACTATTGAGATGAGCGACAACTGATCATGCAATACAGAGAAATGGCTCACTACATACATTGATGCCAATCCCAACCGGTCCGCTTATGCGTTCTGTATTGACCCCAAGCATCCCGGTTACTTCTGGCTTTGCTTCAAGGCGAGTCGTGGATCTCGTGTCAACTCGTGGCCTGTTCGCGTTATTCCGGGTGGCTTCGAGTTACTGAAGCAGGCTTACCCTGACATGAGAGCGCTGTGCAACGGCTTCAAGATCCGTTACCAGACCGAAATCACCAAGATGCAGAAGGGCGGTGGTAGATAGGGTCCATCTGCCTATGGCACTAGGCCTTCCGCCCCTGTGACTAGGGACTACGTCACAGCTAGCTCGCCGCTTGAAGGCTGCTCTTGAGAGCGGGATGGCAAGAATGGACGACATTTGATAACGATGAAGAAGAAAAAGACTACCTCAGATTTGTGGGCGGTCGGACAGAGGCCGGGTCCCAGTGAAGTAGTGCGTGGAATTGTCTTATTTGGGAACTCCTCGGTTCCCTGGAATCGATTTTGGGGGGGGTTTCACGGAAGCGAACGGGGGTATCACGCATCATCATCATTCATGTAGATTAGTAAAAAGGCCCTTGAAGGTCAAAAAGCCAGTAGACAAAAATTGGAATTCCTCAACGACAATAGTCATCACTCAGCTCAATCATGGGACTTTCTCACATGCTAAACATAAGGTGCCGACGTTAGGTTCTTTAGGGACCACCCACTCGTAAGTGAAATCTCGGTGTACATCATGAAGCTTGATGGCTTTATTATTGAAGAGTTGCGAAGCAGCCGGGCAGCTAGCTAAGTTTAATTTGTATCTAAGTCTAGGTTGATGTGCCGATCATGTACTAGTATTAACAAAAGGAACGACCATGACTGTGATCGATCTCTTTGTACCAAATTACAAGCATCTCAGTATACATTAAACATTGTTCAACATCTACACCGTCAACATCGCCAAAAGGAACTAAAGCGTTGTAGGCATTCAAAGAGCCAAGGCGGCGAGAGCACCAATAGCCATCAGCAGGAAGCTGGCACCCGCCTGAACGGCTGCGTTGACAACAACAGCCGGTTTGGTCGGGTAGCTGGCGCTAGAGTAGCTAGTTGTTGATGCACCGGGGGCCGTCCCCGCGGGCTTGGAGGCAGTGAGAGTGGTAGCCTTGGTCACCGGGACGGTGGCATTGAAGCCGGTAGGAGGCTTGGGGATGGTGCCGTTGCCGGAGCCGGAGCCGGAGCCGTAGTTGTTACCACCAGGGGCGTTGGGCTTGGGAGGGACTCCAGACGGGGAGACCGTGGAGAGGGTCTTGGTCAGGCCGGGGGCGGAGTTAGGGCCCGAGGGGGCCGTGGGGACGACCTTTGTCACGATGGGCACGGAGGTGCCGGCAGAGGGAACCGATGTCGTGACGATCTTAGTGGTGACGCTACCGACGGGGCAGTTTGTGACGGAGGGCGGGCACTTAGTGATGGTATAGACGGTGGTGAAGGTGGTGGTCGAGACGCCAGGGGCAGTGCCAGGGCCAGCGTTGGACTTATCATTGGGCTTGTCGTTGGGCTTGTCGTTGCCCTTGACCAGCTCGGTGGGCTTGGGAGCAGGGACAGATGAGACGGGGCAGACCGTGGTGTACAGAGCTATGGTCTGCGTCGTGACCTTGCCGATGTGGGCTGGGCAGTTGGTGACGGTGGGCGGGCACGCGGTGATTGTAGACACCTTAGTGGTGTAGACTGTCGAGGTCGTGAGCTCGACGGGAGGAGTTTTTGTCGCAGCCGCCTGTGTCTGTTTGCTGGTGACGCCAGTCTTGGTGCTGGTGGCGTCGCTCTCAGTACAGACATCCTCGTCGGACTTGCTGTTGGACTTGATGGAGATGGAACCGGATGCGCTGGCGGTAGCTGACTTGGTGCCAGTGGCACTTGTGGTAATTAGGCCAGTGGGAGTAATAGAGGCGGAGGCAGACTTGGAGCCGGAGACAGAGGCAGACCCAGACCCAGACCCAGACCCAGATCCAGATCCAGATCCAGACGCTGAACCAGAGGCAGTTCCGGAGGCAGAGGCGGTGCCAGAGGCAGATGCGGTGCCAGAGGTAGTGCCAGAAGCTGAGGCGGTCTTGGAGTCAGAGGCGCTGATAGACGTGTCCTTTGCCGTGACCGAGCCGCTAGCAGAAGCAGAGATGGAGGCGCTCGTTGAGGTTGAGGCGGAAGCAGACGCGGACGCCGAAGCAGATGCCGATGTGGAGGTGGTAGTCGACGTGACTGCAGACGATGTCGAAGCGGAAGACGTCGAGGCGGATGATGTGGAGGCAGATGATGTCGAAGCAGACGACGTTGTGGCAGATGTCGAGGTAGAGGTTGAGATGGAGGTCGAGGTAGAGGTAGAGGTAGACGAAGAGGACGCAGAAGTCGTTACTGCTTTGCTGCCCTCCTTGAACACACGAATGTCCTTGATCTTGAAATAGGTGTCCTTATAGGCGCTGGGATTCGCCGCGACATAGGACGAGCAGACAGAGTGACCAGTGGACGCGGCGCACTGGTCCTTCCAGATGTACTCATTGCCGGCGAGAACACCGCAGAAGTCAATGTTCAGAACGAGTCGCTGATCGGCAAAGTGGCTGTTGATGTTGCACTTATCATTGGCGATGAGCATGGAGGGAGTTCCCCAAGAGGAGGTATCAGGCGAGTCGGAGCCAATGTTCTTGGGAGCTGCGGAATGGGTCCAGGCTAGGTGCCATGTTAGCTACCTGTTGTATATACATTCGCATTGAAAAGTAGGGTTTGGAGGCTCCTTACCAAAGAACTTGATGTAGTCGTCTGTCCACTCAACAGCATCTATTTCGAAGGATTAGTTGAGACCATCCCAAGACTGATATGCTGGCTTCACTTACAGATACCGCCATCGGACGAGCCCCAAGGGTCAGCAGAGGTGGCTGTAGTAGTACAACCTTCATTGGTGTATTGTCCAGGAGCAAGTTGATCACAGTTTGCTGTGTTAACCTTGGCTGTCTGCCCGATTTCACTGATGACACACTGGCCCTGTTCGGACGTGAGGTAGGTGTGGGCAGCAGGCTTGTTGGCAGCCTATCGTAGTTGTTTAGCAAAGCTTTTGGAGTGCAAACATGCAGGCTGTATCCATACCGCGTTGTTCCAGCCCTCAAAGAAGTCAAGCTCGCCTTTCTTGGGCCACGGAGAACCGTAGGACCAGCTTCAATGATGTTAGTATAGGGAGAACTGGATATTCACTCTTGGATAGAGAACTTACAAAGCAGGCCAGGCACCGCAGACAGGTTTAGGAAGATGAGAAAAGCGGGCGACCATGAGAGACTTGTTGTAAATTGCCTTGCTCTCGAGTCTCACACTTGAACGGCCAACACCGGGGAACTCGGTGATGTTGTGGGCATCAGGACCCACGAAGACCTCGCCGTCGGCATTGCTGATGAGGCCCAGCTTCTGGGCATCGACACGGGTGCGATAGTTGATGTAGCCCGAGGTGAGATCGACGTCATTATAATCTCCCGTGCCGTACTTGCTCTCGAAAAAGTCAAACTTGTCGAAGAAGTTCGTGGAGTCGTATGTGTCATCGAGGACGAACTGCTTGGCGACAGCGTCACCAGCCAAGGCCAGGGCAGCCGTGCCTAGGGTAAAGAGTGAAGGTGCCATTATGGCTGTATTATGATTAACCAAAGAGAGACTTTGTTAGGCTGTATAGAGAATAACGAATGGCTTGACGTGAGATACGTCGTTGGACGAGCAAGAGTGCTCTAGGAAATGCTGGACGACACAGCTGTTGGCGGATGTGGTGCGTGAGGTGAACGGGACGAAGCCCATTCTAGGCGGACGAGGTGCCGCTTAAGATGTCCTGCCATCCCGTTGGATGCTTGAGCATCTGTCCCGTGCCGCTGGTACGCAGGCCACTTACACGGCCAGAGGCACAGCGGCACCGCGGGCTAGACGTCCTTGAAGGGCTAAGCGAGGTTCTCATCTTGGAAATATCCTCCTTTAGGGCCCGCTGAACAGAGTCTAAGATGGCCTGTCTGGTCGTGCTGGACTATTCGCCATTGCTGTCTGTGTGGCCCGGAAGGGGAAGGAGGTTTGCAAAGGAAGTCATCTTCGTATGCACGACTCCCATGATGGCTACCGAGGCCAAGCATCGTGAGGTCCGGGCACCAGCCGGAGAGTCGACCCTGACTACGCCAAATCAGGTGCGGGAAAGGGGCCCAGGAAATTACAGAAATGGGAAAGATTGACAGTGATTGGGGGATCCCACGATGGGTGCCACGGGGGCGTCGAGCGATGCGGCTATGGTGTTAGTCTCTCGACTTGTATCGGCCGATGGACTAACTCAAAGGGGATGTTGGTTGGCGACTATTGTTACTACGAGGAGCCAGGTGCGGCTGGACTTGGTGGCTTTTTGCGGCTAGTTAGGTTATCCCCTCCCCTCGACTTGATGCAGCCGCTCTTTTGGTTTATACATAATGTAGGCGGGAATAAGCTATAGGTACGCATACATAGGATCCTGAGAGAAAATAAGGGTTCCTCAAATTTGTAAAGTACCGTGCATTATGCTCACAAGAGTAGACTGCGGCGCGGTATGAATCCCTAATTACCCACTGGATCCTGAGTCGTTTGCTCAATCTTACATGGTTCTCGCATGTCATGAATCCTTTAGTTAGCAATCGCGGCCCATCGCGTCAAAGTCCGTGTGACGAGCGGCAGGATTCTGTTTCCCACGCTAGAGACTTCAGGCGAAGATGGAAATGCCATTCTCAACTGCGATGCTATTCTCGGATGTAGCTGAAGACGACAAGCATCGGTGCGCGAGTATGGCGATGCTTGGCAGGGTCTCAGCGCTCAGGAGTGGGTATGTGGAAGTCATAAACACCACGGAAAAAGGGCTCAGAGTGACCCCATGATGAATTTCGTGGGTGTTGCGGGGCTTCTCTTCCTACTTTGGCCTATGCCGAATCGGATACAGACGCCGAGGCAGTAAGCATCATTCAAACCCTTGTTGGTGAGGTGAACCCGGCGACGATAGCCGTAAACCCGCATCGTGCCAGGATCTTTTCATGAATTAGACGTCGACGTGCGGCACAGAGTAAGCAGATACGCATGAAATGGATCTTTTGTAAGTCGCCGCAGAGCAGTTGTGAGAGAGCGGTGGACGATGTACATATTGAACCGTGGAACTTTGGTGACCCCCGAAGAAATTAAATTTCTCGTTCAGTTCACCCGCTCGTCGCGATTCATGAGAACCAGCCATGTGGTAGCCCAGCACTGGCGCATCAAGTACTCTTCCACTAGAACCAGTTGAGAAGTATGATACCCCGGCTCTGGCGCTAAAACATCGTGGCGGAACTGGAACCCAGACGAGGTGGGAAAAAGTAGAGGGGCATAGGGGCAGCAAGTAAAATACAATCAACACCTGAATGGGAGTACTGTCGAAAAGAACATTGACGCCACGCGCTGCACAGAGGAGCGTTTGATTAAGCAATAGGCATCCACTGGTCCAGAACCTGAACCTGCCGCGTTGTTCAATCCAGGATTGCGGGAATTGCGTTGGGAAAGAAGGCCATGACTGGGAGACATCGACTTGCCGCACACATGGCTTTGTATTTTTTCTACCGAGGACGCTGAGAGGCGTGGCGGTAGCAAATATCAGACCAATCCGTGGTCATCTGTGCCGCGGCGGTTCTATTTTGCGACTCGACTCGGCACAGGTTTCCTCATTCCACCCACTCGACCTCCCTCACTCCTGGGCAAAAGGGCGTGAAGGTGTACGGCAAGTCTCTTCGGCGGAAGCCGTCCTGTTTCCGCAAACGTGATTCTATGACTCGAACAACAGGCCTCTTGCTGCCGTAGGAGCCTGCCTCTTTGATCTCTAAATCTGGTGGTCTAGCATTGCGTAAGCCTTTGTTTTTTCCAAGCGTTATCGTTAATCGCGAAAGAAGAAAGCCCCGATCGAAATATCAGACAAAGTTGAGAAGATATATATAACGCGGTGTTTGTCGGCACTGCACCACTGGCTCTGGGACAAGCCCTTCGCCTACAGGTGCTCCGCTGGCCCCGCGTGCGTCATCATGTAGAGGGGAGTACACTGAGAAAGAGGAGAGACCACTTACGCTGAAGTTGATGTTTTTTACATGGGTATCTTGTTTAATGTGTTGGAAACGTCCTCTGTAGATTCATGTTTCCGGCCTGAACTTGCCACGCTTCTCCTTCATGGCATCGACCTTCTTCTTGTCCTCGTCGAATCTCTTCAGCATAGCGGCTTGTTCCGCCTTGCGACGCTCGCGCAGTTGGAAGCGGTAGAAGTCCGTAGTCTCGTCCTTCTTCTTCGAGGCCCTGTCGATCATCTTCTGTCGGGCTTCTTCGGCCTCGTTCTTGTTGGCCGGAGCAACACGGCCACCGCGGACAACTGTGACGAAGCCGTCCTCGTCTGGCTCATTGCGCAACCTCTTGGCCATCTCCGCCGCTTCCTTCTCCTTGCGGTTGAAAACGTTGAAGAAGGCGTGAACCGACTTCTGCGTTGCCGCCTTGTCACAGCGCGACAGCTGAATGTGTGCAGATACCCATTCGGATCCAAGCTCGGGCTCATCCTCGGAAACACCCTGTCCCCAGACGGGAAATTTTGTCGTCTTGTTCGCCTTCCTGATAGCCTTGAGCACGAGCTCGACGCTCTTTTCATCTGCGAAGAGAGCAATGGCGCTGCTACCGCTTTTTCGCAATCTTCTCGTCCAAGTCTCGGGCAGTCGTGCAATTTCTTCCTCCCGGGCTCTCTCTTCTGCTTCCTGTTCGCCGCGCTTGCGCTTCTTGCCTAGACCCATAATCTTCGCAGCGTTGACTGGGTCGACAGCTGCGGCATTCTTCCGATCATCCTCGAATGCAATGCTTTCGAAGCGACCTGGACCAACGAGAGCGGAGAAAACTTGGCGAAAATGAGCTTCGGTGCTGTCGACGGGGACGTTCTTGAGAAAGAGACTTCGCTCATCGATCTCGGTCGGGATCCTGGGCGCATTTCGTCGAACGCGGATCTCGTGAAGAGCGGTGATGGGGCACGAGGGAAGTGCTGGGAGCTTCACTGGCAAGAGAAGGAAGCCATCCCCTTGGGACTCGGCGGTTGACATATTGGCGGGGGATCGGCTCAACGCGAAGAAATGTTGTCGTCCTATGGAAGTAAGAGTGAGCAGCTAGAATTCTTGTCGGATCGATCGAAGCCAGCCTGAGAAAAAAGTCAAGGTGGGTCTTTGATTATTATCAGAAGCTACCATCATTGGCCTGACCCAGCCGCATGGCCCGTGCTATATACCCCACCACTCTTATCAACGGTAAGGGCGATCGACACCGAGCTCGGTGAGGTGGCCGATCTCTCTCCGTCTTACTTAGTTTAGGTACTAAGGTTGTTTCTGTTGCACTCTCGGAGTAATTGAGGTACGGTGGCACACAACGCTCTGGCTTTAACACTGTCTATTTTGAATCAAATATGATGTGAAATCAAAGTGAAGTTGGATATACTGTAGCAATCTAGCAGAGAGCGTGTTAAGACTGGTGGTCAATCAAATCTCGATTGCTATTCTTCCAATACCACGACTCACGCAACTCAGCATTGACTCAAGTTTGTCGTCGCCAGATAGAGCTGTGCCTCTGTGATCGACTCGACCGCTCTTAAGCGCAACTTTGCAAGTTCCACAGTTACCGACTTCGCAGCTACTCTCCACATCGCCCCCGATCTCCCGCTTAAGTACTTCCAGCAGCGTCTCCTCCTCGCCCACCTTCAGGATCTTGCCGCCTCGATTCAGAACCTCTGCCTCGAATGGGTCTCCCGATGTATCGGCAGAGAAGGCTTCGTAATGTACGTCGCCCTCATCGAGACCACAATCCTCTGCGGCTACCCTTACAGCATCGGTCATTCGCGTAGGTCCGCAAACGTAGACGTGGCTGTTCCACTTGAGCGTTTTGATGATCTCGGTGATATCCATCCTCTCGCCTTTACTACGGTCGTAAAATCGAACACTACTCCCAAGAGCATCCAAGCGAGAACGAAACGGTATATCGTCGTCCGAGCGAACGGCGTAGTGCATCTCGAAATTGTAGTGGACTTCGTGGTAGGCCTCGGCAAGGACCAAAAAGGCGGTGATACCGATACCTCCCACAATGAAGACGTGATTGCTTGAGGCACTGGCAACTTGTACATCGGTTGTCATTCGCCCAACCTGAAGGATGTCGCCTACAGACATAGAGTTGTGGATGTAGAGGGATCCTCCACGGCCCTTATCCTCGAGAGCAATGCCGAGCTCGAACTTGTTGCGGTCCCCAGAGATGACGGAGTAAGACCGAAGGAGGCCATTCGGAAGCTTGAGCTTTGCGTGAGCCCCTTCGTTGAGATATTCTGGGTTCTCGATCGGGTTGATGGCTTCGAGGACAAACGATGAGATTCTCGAGGTTTGTCTTGTCTTTTCGATAATCTTGAAGTCTCTCCACTGGTCCCCCTTTTCCCTCTTGACTTGAGCTTTAGCCTTGGCCACTCGTCGCTGGAATGCGCCACGACTTTCCTTGCCCATGTCTTCAATTGATGCAAGTTCCTCATTCATAGCTGCGTCAGTCTGGTTCCGGTGCAGGTACTCCTGAACCCTCTCAATGGTCCACTTGGGCCACTTGCGCTCGACGAGCCTAATTTCGTCGCCAGCCTTGACTGTTCCCTCTTTCAGAACACGATAATACCAGCCAGTCCTACTAGACTTGAACGTCGTAGGCGCAAAGTTCTTCAACTGGAAACGATGATTGAGCTTGTAACATGGTTGTCGTGGCAAACTGACTTGGAGCACGACTTCGTCACCAACGGCGATAACATCGCCAATGCAAACGTTGCGCTCATTCATGTGTCTAGTGACAAAATTTTCGCCAAAAGCTCCCGGTCTGAATCTGTCCGCTGCAACTGGATGCTCTGCCTTCCAACCAGAATAGTGAGAGGAGCAATCTGGACTAAACTTTCAGAACTGCGTCATGATGGCAGAACGCCTGAAGCAGCATCATAATGTACTCACAACCGTGTATCGCTTTATCCGGTCCACCATGGAAAGTTGGATCATGCTCATCCGCATCGAGTCCGAGATATGATACGTGAATGGGGCCATGCCTCAAATCCTTGTCGATTCCGGACGTGACCTCTAGTCCGGGCATCTTCTTCATCACGCTGGTGCGAACCTCCAACAGAGTGTCGCTGGTAAAAGGTGACCACAGGTCAATTTCTTCAGTGAGACTCATGGCCGTTGAGTTTCGAAAAAATAACTGCAGAATTGTGTGTCTTGAAAAGGGTTAAAACATGAAAGAGGAAAGTCGCAAACCAGGATTGAAGATCCTACGTAGCTAATTCGCATTCGGCAGCATGCTGCTTTTATGCTAACAGCAACCGTGCGGATGGCCATTCCGCACAGTAATGAGCTGTGCCCTTGATGCACAGCATCGAACAGTGTAGAGGAGCCCTGGAATGAGTTTTGGATCTTTTGCAATAGAGAGGCTTCCTTATAGCTGCGCCACAACGAACAATGAACCTGAGAAGCAAACATGAGATAGTCTGCGTCCGAAATATGTGTGAGATAGACTTATCGATCACACGCTACGATGAGAATAATTTGAGAATTATTGGCCAAAAGGTAGAATTATGTTCGACTTTCCGAAGCAACTATGCTATTGATATGTTTGGAGATGACATAATAAATGATGCTTACCATATCTTGCATGAAGAGCGCCACACATTGTCAATACCGTGAAATATCTGAAAAGCCAGGCAATGGCACCGAAGTACCAAAGTCGTAAGCGCTAAGGTGGTGAGGTGCTGGGGTTCGCCGGACAAATCCCCGGCGTGGAAGACCCACAGCTCTGGCACCAGGGAACGCAGGGGGGGCAAGGTAGTACACAAAATGCTGAAGACATTGGCTGCGGCCCCGTCGATTTCGACCTCATCGAAATGTAAGGCTGTCAGCTGTAAACTCAAAGAAGCACCGGTCGTGAGTCTGCTAGAAAGCTAGGTCCGGCGGATGAAAGACTGTCAGCGGCGTCGGCGGAGCAAAACAACCTGGTTGGGAATGGCTTCACTTGGCGAAGCCGTCTGCTGGTGATCCAAGTGAGACGATGGGAAAGATGTACGCAATGTCACATCTGTAGCCGGACATTCCTCGTTCTACATTTCGAAAAGCATATCGTGTGACACTTCCCCTATTTAATGCACTCTCTCGACTTTTCTTACTGGCAACCAAGATGGCTTCGAAGGGAGGAAGACTCGATTCGCGGCGACTACCCTTGGTCTTCCCAGTTTTAAACATCTGAATGATTTGAAGACGGTCTAAGGGCCTCAAAGTCGATGGAAGGTGTCATGTGAGGCTGCGGTATATCTTAGACAGGTACTTGATTTCTTCAGCTATCCAGCTATCGCTTCGCTCTTCAAGCCTTGACTCAAGGTATAGAGAGATCGGCGTGGTAGAGCCCAAGCCAGCACCAAGATTTTGGGCATCAGCAGAAACCGGTTCTCACGCTGCACACGGCTTGTTAGTTCTGTCGGATTTTGCACTTATGTGCGTAAACAGCATCAGCGAGAAGGCACGATCTACCTGCTAGTGAAACGTGGTCGGTTCATGAGAAGTCGAGAGTACCACCCTTTAATGCGAGACCTGGAATGCGAGACCTGGCCAGAACGGCCTCGAATGCATCACTTGACGACACCATTTGGTAGGACGATGCCTGGCGAATAAGACATTGCCACATTCACTGTCTAAGCCGGTGGAAGTCGGACAAGTGGTCTCACTATTGATGGGTCAGACAGGCCGGTATTTTTGAGGCTCGGGGGCCGTGTGAGGGATATGGTGATGGAAATCGACGCATCTGACGCGATGGCGCAAGTTGTGGATCACTGACGATGCAAAGCGGGTGTCCACAGCACATGAGTCGTCTTGAGCCAGCCTCGTAACTGTCAGGCATGACCAGCTGAGCCTCTAGACTGGCAAAAGACTAGTAGTCCCTACGGCACAAGACGACGAACGGGCGTAAATTGTAATTCGGAAGAATTCCCAGCCTTCCCAAGTGGCTTTTTGGTCGGGCAACGATACGAGCAGAACGGTGACCAAGGGCAGATGATGGAGTCGCTGATACTTCATTCGTTCCACTGGAATAGAGTTATATGATTATAAAAAGACCTCACGTGTGCAGCGTGTTATATGAGCAGTGACGGACTTCGACGGACTTCCCTTACGCATGGAGGAGGTAGGCACGGAAAGTGTTCATTGCAAAAGACGAGGGAACATTAACCTGCGCGGTCTTCAAAAAAGTCGTAGAGCAGAGCCGCATCGGTTCTAGGATCTAGGTTACCGCTACAAAGAGCTCATCTGAGTTAAGGCAGTGCAACCACAAATAGATGATGAGGGAGTTGGTGAGGAAAGTGTTGGCGAAAGCGAATGTCAGTCTCAAGAAAAGAGGAGAATGGAGGCTCTTTTGAAGCCCTATGATTGGGCAGAATCCTCTTAAGACCTGTCGCTGCGATCAGGGATGTAGGTGCTAGTAGAGAATGCTAGTCTCGACCGGGGCACTTGATGAATCTCCACCCCCTGTACGGTCCAACCTAGAATCTTTTGGGGACAGCCTGATTTCGAAGCCGCATGCTCATCAAAGAACGTGCTTGGTAAGGTAAGGCTCTGATACATAGACATCGACACATTCACGAGTCTGCAGTTTGCCGAACTAGGGATGAAATGACCGGCAGGGCTCAAGGGGGCCAAGGAGCCTGTACGACATCTCGGGCGCCCCCCCCCCCCCTCCATCTCGGCCCTTTGCCTGATAATCCCACATTACCATGCCCTCTTCTTGCACAAATCCACATGAAAAGACATGAGAAGACTCCACGACCTTAGGTTCCCGTAATATACTTCGAGACACCCAACGGACATGCCCTTCTGCTGCGTCGCCGTATACGTACCAAGATAGACTGCACGCCAGTCCGACGGCGCCAGGCTAGCCTGGCTTCAAAGAGATTATATTACAAACACAGGTATATTTGTCTTGGATCTAGAGGGGGAAGCGGCAATGTATGTTCTTGGCCGATTCGTGGGTCTAAGAGGGGGGAGGGGTGTGTGTACGTGTATAGAAGCCGATCCCTAGTGCGGCTCTGCTGGTTGAGCCCCTCGGGTACTCACCTTAAAACAAGCAACAGTCGCTTTTCCCGAGGAATATTTCGACCTGCATGACAAGTGGTCGCCTCATAGTCAGTTGCCTCAGTCTTGAGTGGCACCAAATCACCTCCACCGGCTGTCTCGCACATGACCGCCCCTCTCTCAAGTTACCTTACGTTACCTAAGTTACAACCCCCCGGTTGCCTGATGAAAGTTTGGCATTCGATATTTCGCTCTTTTACGACAAGTTATTGGCCGAATGCTAGAAAGGCGGGTTTATGGCAGCCGTCGACTTTGCAAGAATGCAAAGGCTGCCTATCGAGATCATGACTTATATCGCAAATTCTTTGAATTTACACGACATATTCAACTTAAGCCTCGCTTGTAGACAGTTCAGGTACCTCGTGAGCAATGACGATATTTGCCGGGCTGCATTGGAGGTGAGCATCGTCTTGGAGCAACGATTACAATCATTCTTGAGCCGCGCTGACTTGGTGGCTTAGACTCATGCGCCGTACTCAGCTGATTTCCTAGCTGCCCGCTCCTCGAAGCAATATGCTCGCTGCTTGCGGCGACTGGTCAAGCTTCAGGACGCTATCGCCACTGCCAAGCCATACACCACAGCTCTGGTCGCTCATGCAGTTGACTTCATCTACTGCAATGGCACGCTTTGCTATACGGAAAGTTACGAGGTGCTGCGTCTCCTCAACTTGCATGCCTCGTCGGACTCAGAGGACATCATCGATACCCGAATGCTGCTACAATCTGTTCCGGGGGCGAATCTCGCCAATAATAAGTACAAGTTCCGTCCAATATACTTCGCCCATGGAATATTATCTTGTCTTTACAGCCCACCCAAGAACGAAGGTCGAAGTCGCTTGGTTGTCATCAACGTGGAGAAGAGAACGCTTCTCACAACCCAACGTCTCGAGTCAACCTCTAAGCTATTTGTGCGTAACAATCAGGACTACCTCTACTACGGCACTCACTCGGTTACTGGGGATGATGGCTTCAAACGATGGGTCCTACGACGATTTGATCTACAGACCAAGCAATGGATACCTGGTCACTTGGATCTCGAAGACCTAGCTGGTTCAGATATCGGAGCCACCGTTTGTTTTGAAATCATCGATGGCTATTTCTATGGCTTGTCCAGCCTGAACAGTTTCGAAGTATACGAAACAGACTCGCTATCATATTATTACGGTTTTCGGTTGCCTGTCGGCAGTACCCAGCCTGGAGACATGCAGCTGGCGTCGAAAGAATCTATGCTGAGACGAGATCACAAAGACGGGCCGATAGATGATCGATGGAGTACTTTGCAGCTCGCGAAAGACTTGGTCACGGGAAATATTATGGTGTCAGAATGCCGAAGAGAATGGCTTGTCAACGAATCTTCCAGCGCGAGAACAGCCTACAGAAAGGAACTCGTTTTTGCGACTCATCCCGTTGACCCTGGTGACAGAGATACCGAAGCTGACACACACCAAAACGCATATATATCAACCCCGCGCTGCTCATCTACTAAGCTAGTCTCATTGGAGAAGAAAGAGGACACAACCTACGCTCACAGGGGCGATGACGGCTCAACATTGCCGACTATAACCCTGAGCCACTGTTTTATACGTTCTTATAATCAGGCTTGCGGATCATTCGTTGACCTGGTAAATGATCCAGTCGCTACCGAAGCGATGACGCAAAGACCGCAAATACGTTCAATTTCTCGTTTCTCCCAAAGCGGAACCGGCCGGGTTCCGAAAGAGTCACCAGCTGACAGTTCTGCTCAGGTCTCCCACCAGACCCATGGGCCTAACGAGATCTCATCTTGGCCACCAGAGGTTGACGTGAGCCAACCAAATGTGCACCTTGACGCACTGGATAACATACTCTGTCCCAAAGGCCAGAGTACATTCGGTAACATCTCGGGGGTAATGGACGAGCGCTCATTGGTATACGCTATTGGGCAAAGAGGGCCTCAGACCAGACGTCCTTTGGTCTTCATTTGTTTTGACCCTTCCATTAAGCTTACCGGACTCGCTCGGTGGCCTGGCGGCCCAACAACACCACCTTGCACCCGTAAACCGACAGAAGGCGACGATGTGAGGGATTCGGGACCCTATCCTACGCCGCAGTCCCTGCCGGTGTCTGCTCCCTGTTCGAGAAACCCTTCATTCAGTGAGGGGTCTATTCCTCATTTGTCACAAACATCTGCCAATGTGCAGACGGACATCGGCAGGCCAGACGCGCCATCATGGATAAGAAGAGCCTCGGCCGCATATGTGCAAACCATCTATGCTCTTGGGAGTCCTGTAGGTTTCAACTTTGCGTTTTGCAAGGATCACTCGGTCCCGTGCCGGTGTTGCTGATAAGAGCCTGCCGCTGGCAGTTCTATCAAACATTCTAGACGTCTTACGAGCGTCCCTCACCGGCAAGACTTCATGGTGGTACTTTTTCAATATGGTTACCAAGATGACGATCCCATACCAACTTTTCTACTTTGCTCCATTCAAAGACGCGAAAAGTTGTGGGATGGAGGTCTTCGGCCGACGACAACTGCACCTACGCCCTATTTTGTTAGTCACTGCAGGTAGCCCGCTCGAGTCTCGACTTTCACAGTAGCGTCCGCCTGGATTCTTTGCTTTTGTATTTGGACAGGGATGGATGTCGGCTGCCTTGTTTTCTGCTCAAAAGCCCTTGTTCACCCCGCTCAGGAAGGATGTGGTTCGCACGATGGGGACTCTAGTGTAGAGTTGCCTACGGAGTACCCCGGTTTCTACCAAGGGGGCTCTCACCATAAGCGAGCTAGCCCGACCCTCATTCTAAATCTATCTTCATTAATTACTCCGTATCTTACATTTGTTACTTCGAGTGGTATCAGTTAGCCAGCGAGACAGGTGAGAGGCCAATCCTTGGCGTGTGGGATTGAGCAGGAGCTGATCTCTCGTTGGACGATACTACCATGGGAGCTGATATTCCTTTTGAGATCTTATTACACAAAGCTTTTCCCACAGGGAAACGACAGCTAGCCTACCCTACCATTTTTCTCCCGTCGATTGCCGATACAAAGACGGAGTTGTAAATACCAGCAGACCGATTGAGGCAGAACCCGTCGACAGGCTGCTCGCCTCACCCAAGGAGCCTCGCCCCGTTGTCCCACGTCGAATCTGCACTTTGACAAACCGAAACATAAGGGTGGATAGGGTCGAGCTGCATGTCCCAAGCCCCGAGACTGGCTTAATGACCAGCCAAAGACGCAATGGTACCCTCGGAGTTAGGGGTCAACAGGCTTCCATGGGTATTGGGCTCCTGGGGAAGAAGAGGTCACGCTGGCCGGCAGCCTATAGATGCATACGTAAATATATTCTACCAGACCTCGACAACTTGCATATATATCCCAGTGCTGTTTATGCACCCTGCCGATTCCGAAAGGGCTCCTGTTTCTCAAATTGAAAATTACAATGCAAAAGGGCGCGCCGTGGACCACGACTGGACTGTTCAATCCTCAAAGACTTGCTACTCACACCACCGCCGGCCGGGATCATACATGAAGCTATAGGCAGGCTGAGCCGCAAGCGAACATGTTTATCGAGGCTCAAAGAAAAGGGGGTGAAATACCAAGAGGAGAGTGAGCCTCATTTCTCGGATCTCCCCCGCCTCCCTGTACTTCTGATACGAGACATTTGGGAACTGTACAACCCAGTAGAAAGCAAATGGCCAGCTCTCTCATGTGGAATCACGCAATACTTACAGCACGCCGATGATGCTCGCAGAATTGAGAAAGCTCTTGTGATTTTTGACAACACACCAATTGCAGAATCGTTTGAGAAAGGCGTAGTAGGTATGGGATCAGAAGGCCATCCTTTGCTATGCCACCGCCTCCGATGCCGGTCTCTCTACACCGAAAACCTGGAGAAATGAAAGTGAGGCGACCAACAGACTCGTGTCACATGGATACTTCTCCCAGGGTAAAAGCAAAGCGACGTCTCTCCTCAGCCTTTCTCCCACCCCTCCTCCCCTCCCCTACATCCAAGTTTCCCTCATTTTCTCTCCCTTTGCCTTCGCTCCTCTTCCAAGTGTTTTCCGACTCGAAATAATGGGGCAGTCCCTTCTGCGTACGCCGAAGATCCCAAATGCAAGTATTTCGCGCTTCCCTTTCGATGCCCTAGCAGTTGTTCATTAATGTGCCTCTGCAGCACAGTGTATTTGGGTGAAGATCACGGGTGTCGATCGTTATTGGTGGGTTGGGAGTCTCTATTAGTCGCTCCCACTCAATTCAGTTTCACGTAATTCCCTGCGCGGAGAAAGTTAGTCTTTGTCTCTATTCAAGTTTGTGCTGGCCGGTGACGAAAACTCACCTGGGAATTGCCCAGTCTTTCCGTTCAATCTACCTTGCCACCACTCATTCTCGTTCTTTGTTCTGCTGATGATCTCGATGACATCGCCCGTCCTGAAGCTCAGGTCGCCCTCAGCTTGTGCAGCGTAGTCGTACAAGGCGGTGACATGTTCGGCCGCGGGCGCTCCGCTGAGTCGGCTGGGTTTGGGCTTGGGCGGAGGAGGCTTTGACTTTGCTGCGGCAATAGCGGCGAGTCCTCCACCAGAAGTTCCGTTCGTTGGCGGAGGAGAGTATGGAGGCGGCGGGTTCGCGTCGGCGGTTTCTCCTTGCTTGGTGTAGCCACCGTACTTTGTGGGCGCTGCTGAGGTTGTGGAGGCAGCTGAGGAGGAAGAAGGTCCAGCGGTAAGCAGGTGTTGAGGCTTGCCCTCGATTGCGGGACGGCCGCCGTATTTTACCGGACGTCTCTGACCAGTCGTCTTGAACTTCACAATGGATAGTTTCTCCGCCTGCTCTTGAATATCACCTCGCTTCTTGTGGAATGCCTCAAGTACGTCGAGCGTTAGGTCGAAGTAGCCGATGTCGCAGTGTTGCATCTTCTCGTGCAACGTATAGAAGATGTTGAGTTGCATGTAGTAGAAGGACTGGAAGAGAGGTTGGATGAATTGTTGCTCGAGCGCAAACAGGCGCGGCAGTTCCTCCTTGAGAAGATCGTTGAAGTAGTTGAACTCCTGAGTCGCCTGCTCCACGTCGTTCTCCGCTTTCCACAGAGCCTTTTCATCCTTGGCATTCCGATCCTTCTTGTCCTGCAGCTTCTTCAAGGTTTGTCTGTGTCGGTCGTAATCGAGCTTCTTGTGTTCGCGCTTCGCTGCTGACTTGCGGATGACCTTGACGACATCAAGGAGTTCGTTGGCTGGGCGAATAACCCTACTTTCTATCATCTCCAACTCTGGCGCAAGAGTCTCCTGCAAATCCTTGACGACGGCCTCGTACTCTTCGCAGGCACGGATACCCTCGGGGTTGCCGCGAACCTCCAAACTGTCGGGATCCGACATGCGACCGGAAATGGGTTTGTAGATTTCGGTCATGGCCTTGCTGAATTCGATCTGATGGCTGAGCATGCCGTTGATGGCGTCGAAGTATTTTTTGGACTCATCGTGCAATCGCTTCGTCTCGGTTTCCAGCTCTTGAAATCTGCGCTCGGAATCGATGTAGACGGCATCCTTTGTGTGCTCGCCGATATTGAAGCGCGACTTGAATTGCTGGGGCGCCTGTTTGTCGTGGAGAAAAGGAGATCAATAGTCAGCCAATTTTGTGTTCCGTCTTCACGTTACCACGCGGAAGGCACGGGAGGACCCCTCATTAAGTGGACACACGTACCCGAATGACGCTTTTCTGGAAGCCCCGGAAGCTCATGGCGGGGTGATTTTGTGGTGGTGATGTATCGGATTAGGTACTTGAAAAGTTCGTGCCAATAAAGGGTAGAGAGGGTGGTATCGTAGGCTGAAGGTTCTGACGAGGGTCGTCGCTGCTTGAAAGTTGAGGGTATTCGACGTCCAACCTTATGAGGTGTGGGCTCTCGCAACCTGATTGTCGCTGGTGACGACGTAGGCGTGGCTGTGTCAGTCAGCTTCTGCGCAGTGTCGCTTGGCTGTGGCGCATGAGGTGCCGAAAGACAGGAGCTAAGGCGCTACTATGCAGAAGCTAAGGTACCTAAAGTAGGTGCCTGGCGGGGTCAGCGGGAAGAACGGAGCACTGCGACGTGGGAAACAGATGTTTCGCGATGATGACGCTGCGATTTGTGGATGAGAAAAAGAATCTCAGAAAAGGGTTGAAGAAAAGGAAGGGGATGGACTTGAGGATATTCGGAGCTTCGGTTTGGGAAATTGAACAATGCAAAAGGAAGAAAGGCAAGTGGAATACAGTTGCTCGGTCGCGGCGAAAGCGGTGGAAGAGCAGGGCGACTCCGAGAGCCCGTCTCTGCAAAGATCCTCGTCCCCAGTCCGGCCGCATTCAGCATTTCAGCAAAGACCCAATTCACTTTGTCCAAGTCCTGGGAGGCCTGCCCGTTTACGTTTTGTTTAGCTAATCATCCTTGAGTAAGGGCATGTTAGGTAAGGCACATCATGGCATGGGAAGGTAAGGACCAGGTAGGGGCCGTCCCTTTGCAACCTTCGGCTTCCCTGCCGCGCCCGCCTGTGCTTCTTGACCCTACGAGGCGCGGCCCAATCTTGGGCTGCTGCTTTTTCGGGGGTGTCGGTCCTGACAGGTGCCGTAGCCGAAACCGCCTCCCAAAAAGGACTGCAGCTGAATAGGGAACGTCATCCCACCGATCTGGCCAATCACGGCCCGTGTGTTTATCCCCGACCCCGAGGCGGTCTCCGATGCAATTTGTCACGAAAAAAAACTATCCCCATCCTGAGTAGGGTAGCTTCTCCTCTTTCTAGAATTTCTCTTTTCCTTTTCCTCTCCCTGAAGCTCGCGTCCCTCTTCTTCCCTACGCCATCAACATCAAACACATCATGGCTAGCATCACATCATCCGCCTTCAGGCAGGCAGGTCGCCTTTGCCGCTATACGCAGGTGCCGGGTGTTCCCTCACGAGGCATTTCCTCATTATCAAGGGTGGCGGTTGCGCCAACCCACAGATTATCTCAGCAGCGCAGATACGTCTCGGAAACGAAACGTGATAATGCACAGGTTAACATCGAAACGGCCATCAAGCTTGACAAGAAAGACTTCATCGATGTTGTCCCTCAGTCTCCCGATGCTTCAAATGTCATGGTTAGCCCCATGGCTGAGGTCCTGAAGCAAGTCACTACGATGGAGGAGGGCCAGCGGCCCATCTATCTCGACATGCAAGCCACGACTCCCGTCGACCCTCGCGTCCTCGATGCCATGTTACCGTTCATGACTGGTATCTACGGAAACCCACATTCGAGAACACACGCATACGGATGGGAAAGTGAGGAAGCGGTCGAGGAGGCTCGAGGCCACATTGCGAAGCTTATCGGTGCGGATCCCAAGGAAATCATTTTCACGAGTGGCGCCACCGAGAGCAACAACATGAGCATCAAGGGAGTCGCAAGGTTCTTTGGCAGATCTGGAAAGAAGAAGCACATTGTCACTTCGCAGACGGAGCACAAGTGCGTTCTTGACAGCTGCCGCCATCTTCAAGATGAGGGCTTCGAAGTTACATACCTCCCGGTCAAGAACTCTGGCTTGATCGATATGGATGAGCTAGCTGCAGCGATTCGTCCGGATACTGCCATCGTCAGCATTATGTCTGTGAATAACGAAATCGGAGTTATCCAGCCATTGGAGGCCATTGGAAAGCTTTGCCGCGAGAGGAAAACATTCTTCCACACCGATGCTGCACAAGCTGTCGGAAAGATTCCCATGGACGTCAACAAGATGAACATCGACTTGATGTCTATCTCCTCACACAAGATCTACGGCCCCAAAGGCATTGGAGCTTGCTACGTCCGCCGCCGGCCCAGAGTCAGACTTGACCCTATCATCAGCGGAGGCGGACAGGAGAGAGGTTTGCGAAGCGGTACTCTCGCACCGCCACTGATTGCTGGCTTCGGCGAGGCGTGCCGCATCGCCTACGAGGAAATGGAGGTATGTTCAAGGTTTCATTCAGTTCCCTTTCCCCAGCTTACCCATATGATGATTCGCTCCTACATGCATGGCTTTCTGAATGTCCCGTGACAAGGACGTCCATGTTGAAAAATAGCAACCTGTCTGACCTTATCCTAACCCTTCTGCTCTGTTTATGGTATCTTGCATCGATACACAGCAGCTAACAGTTTTATCAGTACGACTCGAAGCGTATCAAGTTCTTGTCTGACAGACTCCTCAATGGCTTGTTGTCGCTGGAGCACACCACCCAGAACGGCGACCCTGAGCACTTCTACCCTGGATGTGTCAACGTTTCGTTCGCCTATGTTGAGGGCGAGTCTCTCCTGATGGCCTTGAAGGACATCGCGCTGTCTTCTGGCAGTGCCTGCACCTCTGCTTCTCTGGAGCCCAGTTACGTTCTTCGTGCTTTGGGTAATAGCGATGAGAGCGCCCACAGCAGTATCAGATTCGGTATTGGCCGTTTCACCACCGAGCAGGAGATTGACTACGTTCTCAAGGCAGTCAAGGAGAGAGTCGACTTCTTGCGCGAGCTGAGCCCGCTTTGGGAGTTGGTGCAGGAGGGTGTTGACCTCAACACTATCCAGTGGAGCCAGCACTAAGGGCAGTATGCTCGACATGATGCACACCTGCCCATCAACACCTGCACTCTTCAGCACTCGACCCTTGTGAGCCCGTTGAGGATCTTGCAGGAAGACACCCGAGTCTTTCTTACCCGGAGTATCTTGTATTAAAACCCACATTTGAGATACCTTAACAGCCAGCCTTTCGTTTTTGCTCAGGGATATTGGAGTTGGGATCGGGGACTACGGAGAGTTGAGATACTGGTCGGAAAGACCAGATGCCGGCAAGAGCCGGCACGGCGGCAATCGGCTGTTTTTATGAAGAATTTGGCCTGTATACTAAGGTACGGTTGTGAGCGACTCCAACAAAAGAACTTCTCTCAGCATGAATCACAATAGAGAAGCTTCGAGCTATGGACAAACACGCAAGCGAAAGCTCCGTGTGCTAGCCGACGGTGTCGCCTACAAGTGACAGTCTGGCATACCTTGCGTAAGCCTTGACATGATTCCTCAGGTGCCACGGTTCTCTGCAGGAACATCAAGTATGTCAAGAGTGCGTTGTGTCAAGCCGCCGATCAGTGTAAGCAAGCTACATGAAGCAAGCGGAATGTCACCGGTTGTCCGGCTTCTTCAGCGGTCTAATGCAAGGATGAATTTGCCTTGCACTACCTACGGCACGAATGCTATACTGATACCCTGCTTGCTCAACCACGGTGGCATAGACAACCTAGGAGGCAGGCAGATAGGCGTTGTCGTTGCTGTATGGCCATGTCTGGCAACTTGCAAGCTGGGGGGACAGCTCTTGCCAAAGCGGGCGGAAGATGTGCATCATCAACCATTCCTCAAATGGTAATGTGTCGGAGAGGGAAGGTCCAGACTGGTCCTCATTACGTCTGTTGTGGGCTCACATGGCCTACCTTACGCAGTATGCAGGGCGTCTCATGTTTCCAGACGAAGAGCGTGAAGCCTGAAAGTGTGTTGGGAATTTGGGGATTTGGGGGGCACGAGGAAAGGGGCGACGCCGCGACAATGGCGTGGTCGTTAGTCCGGAAGGCGTGCAGTCGCAAAATGACATCATGGAAGGTGCGCAGGGTACGAAGCTGCCCCTCCATCCCGCGTTTGTCCTCCACAATGACCCAAAGTGGCCCCCTCCTCTGCTCTTGCAGCCACAGGCACCATCTCCAAAATGACATCACACCTCCAGCTTCGTCTGGCAAATGCTATCGTGGTTGCCAGAACAATGGCGATTCACATGCTCCCTGCCTCAGAAAGTGGAGGTGTCTGGACGTGGTTCTCTCCATTCATAAATACCATCCATCCTCCTCAGCAGCACAGTTTTTTCTCTCCCACATCAACAATTCACATCATCCATCAAACGCAACCTACAAGCTTTACACATTACTTAATCAATCAGACTCATCAGAGCAATCAAACCACACAATATTCACCATGGCTGCCAACAACGACAACACTTCCACCCTCAAGTCGTACGTCGACTCTGCCACTGGCGCTGCCCAGAATCTCCTCGGCTCTCTCACCGGCAGCACTGCCGATCAGAACAAGGGAGAGGCCAAGCAGGACAAGGCACAGCTCGAACACGATGCTTCCCACGCTACTGCTAAGATTCCCGGCTTCACTGCCACCGCTGGTGGTGTGACCAAGGACGACCCCGATCGTGCTGGCGGCTCCTGGAACCAGACCGTCGGCTCTGCTAAGGAGACTGTTGGTGGTCTTGTCGGCTCCGAGGTAAGCTTGTCCACAAATCCCACTCCCTGTTCCATAAGCACCTAGCAAGCTGACAGCGTGGCTACAGAACTTGAAGCAGCAAGGTCGTGAGCAGAACCTCGAGGGCCAGGAGCAGGAGGCCAAGGGCCAGCTCAACGATTACACCTCTGGCATTGGCAACCGTGTCCAGGGCACCATTGGTGGTGCTGTCGCTGGCCTTACCGGCGACAAGGCTGGCCAGGCACACTACGAGGGTCTCCACGACACAGGCAAGACTCAGCAGCGTGGTGCCGAGCATGACATACAGAAGCAGGCCGAGGCCAGACAGCACTAAATCCAGCGCCAATTGGCGTGGAGCATGGCAGGATTGAGGACACAGATGGAATTTGATACCCCTTGCACGAAAATGCATATCCCCAGATAGTCCTGCAGGTAGAGATGAATTGACTCATCAACCTCACTCGATCGTACCTTTTTTGATGTGACAATACGTGACTTACGAACTCAATCCAAAAGTGAGCACCCTCCAGAACATGTTGGCATCTAAAGGTCTAGATAGGGAAAGTGGATCTGGGGATGTTGACATATTCTCCACTGCTCCGTATTTCCATGCAGCCTGGGATTAGATAGGTCGGTGAGGTGGTTTACATTCGCTCCGATATGTCTCCTGCTGCACATCTTGATGATGGCAAACCCGGGGGCAGGTTTGGGAGTAGACTGATTTTCACATTAAATCTCAATGTCGATGTTGTTCGGCTTGTCCTTACGAACTTGACTTCTGCCTGTACTCTGGCCGCGCCAAATGGTTACCTTGAGCGTCCAATTGTTGTGGCGGCTTGGCTAGCAACTAGCACTCATCATGCACCTACCGGTGATCCAGTGAGCTAAACCTCCCCGCTGACCTGAAATGCAGAACAAACGCAGCGCAAGCGCAAGGGTTAAAAGTCAGTAAGCCATTCAACATACAAGTGTCCAGCCTCTTACATGGCTGGTGCGTGGAGCCAAACAGAACCCGCAGGTTGCAGTGTTCGGATGGCACATTATGGCGCTTCCAAAGTATGTAAGGTACCTGACTGAAATCAAGGTACTGGAGACAAGCGAACACACCTGCAGCTGCACACTTTGATTACACCAACTTGTAACTATGCCTTCCATGCCTTTTATTTTCTCTTCATCACGCTTTCGGCTAGGCAAATCGCATCAGCACCAGCACCAGTACCAGCACCAACAGAAACAGACATGCCGTTCCGTCCTCGCCTCGTCCCAGTCGTCTCATCTTGTCTCGCTCGCTGACCGCCAGACAACCCCTCATCATGGAACTTACCCCTCGCCCATCGCCCACCGCCGTCCGCAATGCTGGGTTCCAGGTTCCAGGTTCTAGCCCTTCCCGTCGCGTCTTCTACCGCCAAAAGTCACAATCCGCCCGAGGGTTTCTCCCCTTCTTGACACCAGTCGGTGGACTTTGCCCGCGATATGCAGCACAGTGGGTACGCACAAATCCACCCAACGAAGCCCCGAAGACGAGGGCCGCGATGATGAGTGCTACTGTTGGTCACAAGCTCAGCCCTCGACTTCCAAGTTCCCACCGTCTAGGGCAGAAGAAGAGCACCGGCCCCATCGGATCGGTTCTCGAGCCACGTTCGGGCCACAGTGAAGCCATGCTGGATACAGAAGTTCACCCTCGTCTGTCCAGTGACAGGTGACGCTCCAATATGCAGCTGCAGGGGAGACCACCAACCATGGGAGCGTCGCATCCCACAGTCGACGAGCAGGACCCGTTAGGAGCGACCTCGGTGCCATTTATTGGCTCATGCCGCGCCCAGTGGCTGCACCTCACGAGCAAAAAGATGCAAGGGAGGCCGCATCCAAGAGGGGCAGGAAAAGGCAAGGAAGAGGAGGCATTATTTGATTGCGCTGCATCTGGAACCCAACTTACAGACCCTAACGTCGTACTGGCGCGCACAGCACTGCGCGGAGCGGAACGACCAACTCCTGCCGTCGATGGTCATGACGGGAGTACAGTAATACCACCGCGAAGCCCTCCATGCCCTCCTTGCCCTCCTTGCCCTTCCTCCCCTCCGATTTCGTGTACACACTTCAGCCGTCATCAACGTTGCCTACTCCCTCCTTTCACATCTTGACTGTGCCGTCTCTCTACTTTGAACACTGCCTTTGTCCGTCGCGAATCACATCCCTGTGTAGGCCTACGCATACTTATTGACGAACAACCCTTCCGTCGCATCATGGTGCGATAGTCTCTCGCCATTTGACCCGCCACTTACACTCTTCTCTTACGTGCTTCGCTCTCCGCCATGGCCGAGAACGAAGCGCGCCAGTGGACGTTCGTCCTCATTCTGACCGCGCTCCTCCTTTCCCTCGTCGTACTCTCCCAGATCCTGACAACGTATATCACTGCCTATCGTGTCGCTCCCAACGAGATCACATCTTTTATCGATGCCGTCGACTTTTCGGTCGAGGAGAACGAGAGCTACGATCGCGATGTTGCTAAGGTTCAGCGCCTTGAAGATAAGCTCCGCTTAGGTCGACTTCTGCGCGAGATACAAAAGGGCGGCGATGACCTGCGTGAAGAGATCAACTTGCTGCTTCTCTCCGAAGACACCACTTCTCTACGCCTGAGCGCCCGCCTTCTCTGGGCGAGCAAGCGCCGCGATCTCGAGGAGCGTGTGCGCCGGCTGGATCTCGTGAGGATGCGCTTCCTCGTAGTATACATGGGTGTGGTCGCGGATCGGGCAAACGTCACAGCAGAACGTCAAATGCCCGTCGCAACACCAACGACACCGCAAAGAGACCCGGAAAAGACACCTGTTTCCCCTTTCACGCCCCCAATGACCAACCTAAACGCCCACTTGACGCGCGCCTTAACGGAGGAGATTCGAGAGCGGCCGCCGCTGCGAAGGCTAACTACCCAAGCTATCGGTCATCGCGAGACTACGCAACCCGGGCACAAGCTGGGATGGGCGGGTGTGGTTCAGGAACTGCAAAAAAGTCCCCGGATGCACAAGCGACGCTCCTCCATCGAAAGATCCATCGAACAAGAGTTGGCCAACTCCAAGCTGACGATTTGATACGGCGATGGATTCAGGGAGTGTTGCTTGCGGCAGACATGGGGAAGCGTCGAAACTCTATAGACGGCACCTACACTTACGCAGACTACGACGAAGAACGATTTACCGGCTTACGACTACAGGTTACATGGCACTAACGACGTATGAACACTTGCATATGCATATTGAACAGACGACGCATTATCTGGTGGCACTCAGCTTGAGGCCTCGGAAAAGCATCTTGGGGGGCATCATTGGCAGACCATCTGTCAGCTCTCCCACGCCCGAAGTAAAAACTGCGGGCACGAACTTTATGAAGAAAATGGAGGGGTCACAGGCGCAAGGCGGGCACGGAGGTTCACAGGAGTCTCATGGGAGGTTCATGGGAGGTTCATGGGAGGTTTAGGGAGAGGATTGGGGATGAGGAGAATTTTTACTTTTTTAACCGTTTAGCAGGAGGATTTACACATCACTTCACTTAGATGAGATACCCCTTTTTCACAGCATTATTAGCCCCATGGCATATTTACACTACACTTGATCAGTTAGTCTTTTCATTTTCCCAATTCAGTACAAGATCCCCCGGCTTAAGCATACTATTTTGATTATGTCTTGTGTTTTCTTTGGCTTAGTGGGAAGGCAGAGCCACATCGTCAGGCCCAGTGCTGTTCCTCTCACCGACTGCTTGAATATTAGAATCGATTCGACTTGAAGACGTAGAGAGTCCCATCTTACCATCGAGAGCCACCAGGAATCTGCTCACACAGTTATAGCACGCGACCTGGATTCGTTTGTTAGCTTCTCTCCTTTCCCAGCCTCAGCCCCTTCTCATCCCCCCTTCGCCCGAGAAAAGAACTAACCGTCGTCGTAATCTCCACCACCTCCCTCTCGTTAAACAGCTCCTTGAGCTTGGCAAACGTCTCGTCCTTGACCCTAACGTTCCTCGTCATCTCGTCCGAGTAGACGAGCACGGCCCACTGCTTCTCGCTGAGGTACAGCGCGGGGCGGCTGGCCAGGTCGAGCGGGGCCTCGGTCTTGATGGCGTCCATGCCTTCCTGGGAGACGCCCGCGGCGACGGCGAGGGGCGCGTGGTGGCCCCACTCGTACCAGGCCTTGTTGACGACGGCGACGCGGGAGATTGCGAGCTCGCGGAGGTCGGCGGGGATGGTGGTCTGGGTGCGGACGGCGCCGAGGAAGGAGTTCCAGCCGTCGGCGACGGGGGGCGCGTGCAGAAGGGTCAGGTCTAGGGCCTGGAGGGGACGGGGCGCGCGGCGGGCTTGGATGCGGGAGACGATGGCGGCGTCTTCGGGGGTTGTGGTTTGGGGAGGGTTGGGTACGTAGGGGAGACGCATTTTGGATGGTTTTGGGGGGGTTGCAAAGGGGGAAGGGTTTCTTGGTGATGGTGTTGTGAGGGGTATGGTTGGCGTCTTTCTGGGTTTGAAAAGGTTGAGGAACCTTGAGAACGAGCTCATGTAAACCGATGTGGTTGGCGGTTTTGATCTGTGAAGTGATGATATCTTCAAGTCAGAAAAGTGAGGTTTACGAAATGCCTTCTTTTATTTCATCCGAGGGGTTTACGCGGGGTTGCGTATAAGTCCCGTCTCCACATCCCGAAAATCGGGCGGGCCGAGCGAGCGTTCTTTTCCCCCTCTTGCCAAATTTCTGGGTCTTCCGGTTGAATGCTGTCCCGGCGCGATGCCGGTGTCGCTTGGGACACCCGACTGTAGCCTGCAAGTCTCTCAAGGAACGGCCGGGCGATTCGGCAGGGCACTCTTGGGTACGGATACTTCCTTAAAGTGTCGGTAACAGGTGAGAATCCTTTTTTTCAGTGGAGAGCCGTCTCGTTTATTTCCCTGGGGGATTGGGGATGACTTGCATGGAAGAAATATGGAGTTGAGTCTTTGCAGAGTCAGGATAGAGAGGCGTATTTTATCAATGTTGTTATGCCATCGAGAAGAGTCGAGCACCAGACACTATGAAAATGGTATTCATCGATCATTGTCAACCAAATTACCATGTCTACACTTGATTATAGGATTAGCTGGAGCGGGATAGATCTGGTGTTTCCCAAGACTTAGGTTGACAGTGACCTGTCCTACTTCTGTCCCTACGGATGCTTTCTTGCGAGCACTTGGTCTTCGTGAATGGAAGTACCCGGCTGTCTGGACCTCTGATTTTGAGTCGCTGGTGCTCTCAGCAACAATGCTACCTGTACCCTGCTCGATCTGTTGCGCAACGTGCTGGACCTGCTCCTTCCCTCTCTGTGTTT